CGGCCATTCTGGCGCTTGAGCGGAGATCGCGGAACAGATTGCTCTAAATATGTGTTTTAGTCAGATTGTAAAGTGACATTTCCAGATCTTCTTCTTGGATATTAGGATTTATATCTGGGGCTATTTTTCTAGTTTTCTTTGATGTTTGATTGAGTATTCAATTTATGGTTTAAGAAGTATATATCAAAGGATTGTTTGTTTATTCTATACAAAAGAGAGAGTTGTTCTTCGATGGATTCCAGGGAATTCGAGTCTGAAGCTTTAGTGGATTCTAGAATGGCTCATTGTCATGATTCGACATCGGCATTGTGGATTCAACATTGGGAAAGACAATTCCGAGGTGAAGACGGGGCTGGAAGAAGCACATAGAAGTTGATTCAATTTGGGCGTGAATTTGCTAGGTAATTGAGAGTATACCTGTGTAATTCCTTATGTCTTTTTAGTGGATTGTTTTATGGCTTTTGCAAGTATTTTTTTTTCACAATTGGAGGCGCTCCAATTGTGATTTTTTCCACGTAAAATCGTTGTGTTGATTTGTTTTTGATTGTTTGATTGGGATTACTATTTACTGATTAAAATTGATACATAATCACAAATCAATATCTAGGGAATTTCTAGATTTTTCACCCTTCAATAAATATACTAATACAAAAACTATAAGTTGCGAGAATAATTGTGTTGACATGGTTGCGCTACGTCGCCATTAGAAGGACTGGCTAATTTGATAATATTCAAATCGTTAATCATGCCACATATCTAATTAGATTAGATGGATAAACTACACGTAAAGTGAAATGTCAAATTAGATGTGGTCATGATGTTAGTTGTTAAATTTCACCTAAACATTTACTTATTAGTCTATCTTTGGCATTTAATTTTATAATTTTTACTCCTTTACTAGAAATTTCACCTTACTAATAGTTAAATTTCACTTAAACATTAAAGTTAAATTTCATTATTTGAAGAAAATGAAATTTCACTAGTTGAATATAATAAAATAATTATTACCATCAAGTTTTAGTTAAAAAATATTAAAATTTTGGTAATTTAATACTTTATAATCAATTAGACAACAAATTAATTAAAAATTACTACTGTTTGCATATATTATCTAATAGATCAGGAATACCACGTGCTCATGTGCCCGACTAATAAAATAACATACTTTTAGTTCGGATTTTTGAGAGCCCAAAATTAAAAAATCATTGGTAATGATGGTAATGATTATGGAGGTGAATGATTGTAATAGTAGATGTGGTGGTGGTAGAGAGGTGGTGACAATGATAATAGAAATTGTGGTGCTGGTAGTGAAATGATAGTATGTTTTATGGTGATGATGACAATAAGAATGAAAATGGTGATAATAGCAATGGTGGCTTGATAATGGTGTGTTGGTGACAGTGACACTGACGGTGATGATGGTAGCAACAATATTGGTGATAATAGTAGCGATTGTGAGGTTATAATGGTGTATGTTGATGCTTATATATAAACATTTATAAATTCAATTAGTATTAAATAATTATGTAATTTTATATGAGAAATCTGTCATAATTTAAATGACTTTTATCTTACAAACTTAAAATTTAATGAAACAAATGGTTTGCATAAGGGGTACCCCGCTTCTTACACCAACACCATCGATTTCACCACTACCATCACCACTGTTACAACAGTTGTCATGCCCTATCACCATTTGAACTCCACTACTATTACTACTCTACCACCACCACAGTCACTCCCTACACCACCACCACCATCATTGTTACCACCTTATCACTACATCCACCTTTACCCTACCGCCATGGCGACTAAAGTTCTTTATCGCCCCGTTGGTCGCCAAAGCCTTGTCGGCAATAGTTAATGGCAACTAAATTGACGTTGATTACTAATTATCTTATCTTCAGCTACTAAAACGAACTTAGTCACCAAGCATAACATTTTGGTGACGAAATATTTATTCACCAAAGGTAATTAAATCAAAATGAAATTCTCTTTAACAATACATTTACCTAACAATAATACATTTAGAGACCAAATAGTTTAAGCTTTCACAAAAGATGTAACTTTTCTTGAAAGTACTTACACTTTTTTCTGAAATTACTTACGCCTTTTATGAAAACTCACGCCTTCTTGTGAAATTATTTAAGCCTTTTTGTGACAACTTACACCTTTAGTCATATAATATATTATTTTGTTAATTTACCTGGTAAGTGACCTGTTTAGCAAGTCACCAATGTGTCAGTTTTCAAAAAATTTGGTATAACCCAATAAATAAAAGGTGTAAATGCAAAATAGAAATAGTGTAAGTGCCTTGCATACCATATACAAGGCACACCAAAGAAAGGTCCTTATAAAATTTATCATTTATCATTTAAATTTTTCAGCCGAATATGTATTCATTTCTTACTTAATTATATTTTAGATACAGATCAATTTACTCATACAAGTCTCCATACTTTGTATGCATATCGCATACCAATTAAGAAACATATAATTACAATACTAATAATTAATAAAAAATCACGTGCCATGTGTCTAACCACTAGTACATATAACTGGGTTAGATCGGTTTATAGGTAAATTGATAAATTTTAATTTTCAAGCTAACCAATCGATCAATTTTTAGCATTCAACTAGCTGCCCAACCCAATCTACTAGGTATGGGCATTTTTCCCCGCCCCTCCCTACACCCGTATCCCCCATCTCGCACTGCACGGGTTTTCCCTGCCCAGTTGAGGAAGTGGAACCGAGATGGGTTTTGCTTCTCCCACCCCATTCTACCCAAACCCCGTCCCGATTACATTTATTAAATATATTTATATGTATAAAATATATATATAATTTAATTTTTTCAATATAATAAAATTAAAACACTATTTATTTTCTATCTTATTTGTTATTATTCTTATTAAGTATGAATTATTATTCATAATATACTATAATTTTTATTAATATTTTTATTTTTCAACTTATAAAAAAAGCTGCTCCCGCCCCACACCCACCCTACTAACATCATCCCTCGATTTGCCCCACACCCGATATAAAATGAAGCGAGGGCAGATTACGACAAACTCGCCCCAAACTTGACCCGTGACCATCCCCACAATCCACTCACCTTCTCAAATAGTACGGATTGATTTTGGTCAGAGTGAGTTGATGAATCGGCAAATGTGTAATCCCGATTCATTCTATAAATGAACCCCACAATACATTAATTCAAATCAAATTCTGAACACAAATCTGGACAATAATTCTGAGTTGCTAAAAATTGAATGCTAGAATCAAACTAACCAATCCATAAAGACAGATTAAGTGGATTTCCAGTAAGTTGATTCTTTCGTGCACCCCCTAGAAGTGCTAAGTTAAACAAGTCAAAATATTCTATACTTCACGTCTAAGGTAGCTTGGACAAGCCTAGTTTTCTTGTTCTTCTTTCACTTTAATAAAATTTCTAAATTATTCAATTATAAAGTGTCTACCTAAGAAAGTAATGCGACGTGCCCAACTCAATTAAGGATTTGATTGTGAGTAGAATTGTTTGGAAGAAATGAATTCATCTGGAAAAGCTCACGTCATTGAAAGATTTGTTGAGTTGAGTGGAGTAGTGTTGATTGTTTCAATTTAAGCCAAAATTCATGAATTATATTTGACTTTTGTAAAATTCAATAAAAATTTGTTTTTGGGTTAATTTAGTCGGCCATATACACTCTTAACTAAGAGCTTAAGGGGTCAATTTTAATCAATGATAAATATTTATTTATTTATTTTTGTATTAAAGGGTTTTTCGTTGTTTGTTTTTCACCCATTATAGGACTCCTGATTGTTAATGACATGTTAGGCTTCTAGGGTATTGTTAGACTTTAATAAAGTGTATGATTGTTCAGTCTAATGTAATTTGTTTTGATATCTGTGAAAAAAATATATATAAATATTCTAATCTAGTATTTCTATAATTCCTGGTTTGACAGGAGTATCACATAACTAACCTAACATGATATTTCCAAATTACTTAATAATTTTTCAAACTAACACAAAATTGTATTATAGAACTACACAATAATTTTAAAAATACTTATCTCATTCTTTTAATAATGTTCCGATGATTTAATTAGTATATTATTATTATTATTAGGTTTGGCCTCCCTTTTCTTGGTTAACACTGTCGATATCACCGTCACTCTGTCACCACCAATGTAACTGCCACCACTACCCTATTACAATAACTATTGTTGTCACAATTGCTATCACCACTCTTATTACTATTCTCACCATTACCTCCATTAAACTTGTCGATAGTCTTATGCGAGAAAAATTGGTGCAAACAGGATCTCATAAAATAAGAACTAATTACATTAACACAAAACATGACTCGAAATTCTGATACTTTGTAAACTGTGTTTGATTCTATGATTAATTTTTAAATTATAATATAACTATAGCCTAATATTGAAAATGCAATAATTAAATATATGAAGAAAAAAAAATAGACCACATGATTTTATTCTAAGAACACTAACAGGCTAATTTAGTAATTTTTTGACTATTTGACTAAAATATAGCTTAAAAAAATTAGTATGTTTGGGATGACTTTTTGACTTTTTACGAAAAGATGTGCAAAAGTACAGAGAAGAGAATCTTTGACTTTTTGATATGAATTGTTGACTTTTTAACTTTTTTTAATAACTTTTTTATTTTTTAACTAAACTGGCATGTTAGCAAACGGGGCTTAAGTAACCGGCCTAAACTATAGACACCTTTAACAAAGTGTTTTAAAATGTGAATAAAAAAATAAAAGAAAGGTAAAAATCAAAAAGCAATTGCTAGAAGAAAAAGAAACAAACTTTCATCATTCATTTCCTAGTCAGAAAAAGAAATCCACCAGAGTCCCACACAAAAGATTATGATTGACTAATTGGAAGGGGAAAAAAATGTATATCAATAAACCTGTATATACACACATATGCAACATTCTCAAATAAAAGGATACCAAATGTCAATGAAACATTAATTTATAAGACAAAACTGCCCTTTTCTCTCTCTAATACTCTCTGTCTCTCGCATACACATATCATCTCTCAAAGTGTCATTCTTGCTTTTAGACCAGTACCAACCAAGTGGGTTTGATTTTCATCTCTTTGAAGACTCATCAATTAGCTTTTTCTCTCCCTTTTTCAGCTTCTTGATCTATGGATACTAGTGCTCAGTGGCCACAGGTAAAGCAAAAGCATGTTTTCTCTCTTTGAAATCATGATATTTCTGCTTTCTTGTGTTGGGGTTTTCAAAGCCTAATTTATGAAACCGTCTTCTTCTTTCTTTCTTTTTCTTTGGGTTTTGAAAGTTTTTCTTTGTTGAATGATGGGTTTGTTGTTTTTAAAAGCAACTTTTCTTAAACCCCCCACTAATCTTTGAATTTATGTTGTTTTGTTGTTGTCTGAGATCTTTCATTTGTGTGCTTGAAAGTACTGTCATGCCTTGCCTGCACTTTTTTTTCTTTCTTTTTCACCACCAAAAGGGACCTAAAAAAGCTATTCTAATTTGTTTTTATTGCTATTGTAATCCTCAAAGCATAAAGCAATATTCTTGTTTTCTCTGCCTTGTTTGTTTGCTATATTTTTTTCACTCTTTATCTTTGTCAACAAATCCTTTTATTTTGATCATGTAGAGTCATGGGTTTTTGTTTTCCATCTTTCTTTTCTTTGCTTTTCTTTTCAGGGGGTAGGGTTGGTGAAACCCATGGAAGGCTCAAGGGCTATAACTGAAAGGAAGCCAAGACCACAAAAGGAACAAGCTTTGAACTGCCCTAGGTGCAATTCAACCAACACCAAGTTTTGTTACTACAATAATTACAGTCTCACTCAACCAAGGTACCTTTTTGTTTTCATTTTTTTTTTTTTTTATCTGCAAAACTAAAACATCAAGAAAATAAGGATTAAGAAATAGAATTTCATCGCTAAATGACATATCCCAACTAGGTACTTTTGTAAGACTTGTAGAAGATATTGGACTGAAGGAGGGTCTCTCAGAAACGTTCCAGTTGGAGGAGGTTCAAGGAAGAACAAGAGATCATCGTCGTCGTCATCACCGTCACCATCATCAAAAAAGCTTCCCGATCATCTGGGCCCACCAAGTTTCTCATCTCAGTCTGCCTCTCAAAACCCTAGGATCCATGAAAACCTCAACCTAGCTTACCCAGCAAGTACAAGTGATAATTACCATAATGCCCTTAATCCTAACCCTTCCTCTACTTCACCTCATGTGTCAGCCATGGAGCTTCTCAAGACTGGGATTTCTTCAAGGGGACTCAGTTCTTTCATGCCGATGCCAATTCCGGACTCGAATTCAATCTACCCATCTGGGTTTCCTATGCAAGAATTCAAGCCAAGCCTCAATTTTTCTCTAGATGGGTTTGAAAGTGGGTATCATCATCATCATCATCAAGAAAATAGTAGCGCGAGGTTGTTTTTTCCATTTGAGGAATTGAAGCAAGCACCAAACACGGCTGAGATTGAGCAGAATAGTGGACAAGGAGGACCTAGTGGGTACTGGAGTGGGATGTTAGGTGGAGGGGCATGGTAATTTGGTAAATTATTCAAAAAAATGGAAAGCAACAACATGAAGAAGTGAAGTTGGTATTATTTGATATTTATTTGAGTTTAATTTGGGGAAAAAAATGACTTGATTTTATTTTCTCTCTCCTGTTTGGATCTTCTTTTTCCCTTTCTACTCTTTATTTCTTTTTCTTTCTTTTTTTTTCTTTTCCTTTCTAATATGCTTGTTGATCAATTTGAATGTTTGAAGCTTGTTTAGGTTATAGCTTCAAAATGTTCTATCAGTTTTATGTTGCTGATGTTGCATGAAATAATTGTTTTTGAGTACATATATAGAAATGAGTCAGTGAAATGTTGAAGACTAGTAAAATTTGCATGACGAAGAATTGATTTTATTTTATTTTATAGTGCTCAGACTCAGTGTGTTGGAATGATGGGTTTGCAATCCTTTTTTCCACCAAGCTACTTTTTCTCTTTTGCTTTCTTTTTTGTTTGCCAAACAGTTCAGGATTGTCAGGTCTTATCATCACCATCTTTGTCTTGGCCAGCCATTAAAGCGCCCTGAAAGCAAGTTGAATATGGAGAAGAATATATAACTTAGCCATACACACCAAGGTATGTATGACCCATGATTTGAATCTTCACATGGTACACCACTTTTTAGGAGAGATTTTAATATTGGAATTCTGCATCACATAGTAATATTAAAGAACTTGAAAGATAACCTTTACTTTCTAATAAGTAGAACCCATAGTTATGAAATGGAATCAATATAATCCATATTGAAAATTGGCAGGGGATTCATGTACTTGATATTTTTCTATTCTTTCTGTCTTGAAATATTTTTACTCATTGGATCATATGATCAAGGCACGAGAATTCAGAACATGATCGGACAAATTGCAATGCGTTCTTTTTTTAATGAATTCATAATCTTTTGTATAAAAAAAAATATACAAAATGATATGACAATGAAATTTGTATAATTATAAATCAATGTGATGGATTTGTTGATTTATAATAAATTAATATAAATAGAACACGCCATTATATATAATTTTTTGAAGAGTGATATGTAAATAAAAAATTTATACAAAAATACATAAAAAATTATTTTTAATGTCATTTGTTAAATAAATAATGGTAGATGTTTTAATTAAAGGCAGAATTGGACTGGAGCATGCTGTTAGGTCTTCGTTGGCCCACCATAGAGTCTATCGATAATCTAAACTGTTCAATATGTAAGACTCGCCGAGTACTTCATTGTTGTAAAAAATCATATTGACCAAATATCGATAACTATTTGATCAAATCAAATTTGTGTTAACGGTAAGTGTGATTTTAAAAATAAATTGTTGACACAAATGTGATCTGATCAAGTGATTATTGATATCTGATTAACGTGATTTTTTATAGGAATAAAATACTCAATAAGTTTTATACATTAACGGTTTGGTCATCGATATGGGCTTCGTGATGAATTGACAAAGGTCCAACAACACCTCCAGTTGGATTTTCCACTACAATAAAAACACCTTTTAGTGACATCATACTAGTGGCATGTTCTTAAAAAATGTCACAAAAAGAATATTTGGTGACATTTTTTAGAAAAATGTCATAGAGCCACAAACATACAAGGCTCTAGTGGCATTTCAATTAAAAAAATTATCATTTCACCACAATAAAAATGTCACTAGAACAAATTTACACTTTAGTGACACTACACTAGTGGCATGTTTTTAAAAAAAATGCCACAAAAATAAAAATTGGCATTAAATGTTTTAGAAAAATGCCACAAAACCACAAACATATAAGGCTCTAGTGACATTTCAATAAAGAAATGTCACATTAATTTTATGACATTTTATAAAATAATGACAAAAAATTATGTTCGTGACATTTACCAACAGATGCCACTAAACTTTAGTAGCAATGGCATTTTAAAAAAAAATGTGAGGACACTAGGTAAGTGCAAATTATTTTTTATGGCATTTAGGTGAAAAGGGTTATAAACAAATATTTTGTAGCATTTTGAGAAATGCCACTAAGCCAAAAACTTTCCAAGCTTATAATGGCATTTTTGAAAAAATAAAAAATGCCAATATATTTTCTAAATTTTTAAAATGCAATAAATGATTAAAATTAAATAAATTAAACTCAATATACACTATAGGAAAAAAGCACATTCGGCGACTAAATTTCCTGACTAAAAAAAATTTGGTTGCTGAAAGTATAGCTTTCAGCGACCAAAAGAGTATTAGTAGCCAAAAGTAAAGCTTTATGGCGACTAAACAATTTTAGTAGCCAAAAGTCTACAATTGGTGACTAAAACTAAGTTTGGTCGCTGATTATATGAGTTTTAGTGACTAAAAAATTTTTAGTAGCCCAAAGTAAAGCTTTTTGGCAACTAAAAAAATTTAGTACCCAAACGTCTACAATTGGCGACTAAAAATAAGTTTGATTGTTGATTATATGAGTTTTACTGACTAAAAAAATTTTAGTAGCCAAAAGTAAAGCTTTTTGGTGATTAAAAAAATTTTAGTAGCCAAAAGTCTACAATTGGCGACCAAAAAATAAGTTTAGTAGCCAAAAGTTATCATTTTTAGCGCGGGAGAACTAAAATTCTAAGGCGGGAATTAAATTTTTTAGCGACTAAAATTTTGGTAGCTGAAAGTGTATCTTCGGCGACCAAATCCGATTTTGGTCGGCAAAAGTTAAGATTTTTAGCAATTAATAAATAATTAATAGTCAAAAGTATAGAATTGGCGACTAAAAGATATTTTTAGTCGCCAAAAGTGGTCTTTTTTTTATTTTGCTAGTAAATAGTTTATTTTACATAAATTATGTTCAATAAAATAATTATGTTTATACATATACTTTTATATTAATATGGATGTATGTACTATATAAATAATATATGTTGCATATATAATCATGTGGTGCTATAGAGGTGTAGTGGGAAGAGTGTAGTGTATAAGGTTTATGGTGCGGGAGGTTGGCGTTTCGAGTCTCCGCAAGAACGGATCAAATTATTTTACAACGAATTATCATTACGAATGGCACTTGATAGCGTCACGAATAGTGCCTACCATGACATTAAAGTGTCACTGAAAGGTTTTAGTCTTGATGGTGTAATGACACTTATAAGTGTCACAAACTCTTTTTTTAATGGCGCTTGATAATGTCACAAATAATATCTACCATGACATCAAAATGTCATTGAAAGTTTTTAGCCATGATGATATAGTGGCACTTGCAAGTATCTACCGTGGCACGGATATAAATGGCACTTGTTCAAAATGCCACAAGATTAAAAAATGTTATTAAATCAATAATTTTGTGACATTTTAAAATGTCACTAAACTAAGAAAATATTGTAATATTCCACCTAGAGAGGAGCCTTTCACTTAATTAAAAATCAAGGAATCATAAAAAGTCATCTCATTATGTATAAAGGTTGTGTACAAAAATTTTATTAATATATCATTACTTTAATTTTTTATATTTCATAAAAAAAATTTATACACTCAAATTTTTAGTACTCTTCCATGGACATCACAGTGTGTCCCATTTCCATTAGTGATCATTTCACTTTCATTGTCATATTTCTTTTCGTTTCTTTTCTTTTCTTTTTTTTAACCCAAATCGTATTCCTTCTGTATTACTACAATATATATGTATATATAAAAAAATGTATCTATATTAGGGATAATTACACCCAAGTGGGAGTAGAAAAAAAATTACATATTTAGAGTAAAAAAATTATAATTTTAATTATTGATGTGTAAAAAATTTCATTAATTTATAATTATTTTTTTAAATTTCACTTCTTGACTGGTACTCTCTCTTATCTTTTTAGTTTTGGCTGGACCCACAAACATTCCCGTCGACAACCGTGCTCTAGAGTTATTTCATTGTACAAAATCATCTACAATTATATTACAGACACTCCATTTAGTTTAAAAAAAATTGTTACATATACAATTTTTTTCCTTAGAAATTTCATATGTATTTATTTAAGTAATTCTCATTTTTTTATACATTTAATAATATAAATATCAATTAAAAATTTTATTTATACATAATATTACTCATATTATATAAATATATAGTTGTTAGTGTATGGTGTGTTAACCCACTAGTTAGGTTTTTTAAGTGGTATATATAGAATAGTGGTGCACCACCCTAAAATGGCGGGGTCCCCTTTCTTGCCAAACTTGTGCATTTCTCCCATTTGCCCTCATGTGATTTTTTCCCTTATGCTCTTCTCAATTTGTGAATCATGAAATAGCAAAAAAAATTGCAAGTTTATTGATTGAAATTCAATTTCCAATGCTGGTTGGAATTAGGGTTTATGAAGGTTGTTTGAAATATGTGTTTTAAGTATGGCCCATGTGTGTGCCATATTTTTATGGAGGGTAATTCAATTGCTCATTAGTTAAGTAGACTAGCTTTTAATTGTGTTGGCCCAACTTGATTTCGGCTGAGGCTACTCATTCTTAATACATTACCCAACCTTTCTAAAAAACAGAGTGGCGCTCAAGTATCTTTCACACTCAAAGAATTAGGATCATCCGTCATACTTTTAATTTGATAATTTAACGATTCAAATTTAAAGTTGAAGTCAAATTTACTTTATTTTGATTTTTGCTTTTAAAAAAATAGTTGTCATCTGATTTCAATTTTAAATTAAGGCATTGAATTGTATCTTTGGCTGACATATTTCTATTATGACAATGATTACAACAAAATCATGGCAGCGGACTCTTGCCTTTACCGAAAACCTTTGTTTCCCTATACTCACACAATGCGATCCCATCACACATGTGAAGAAACAAATAGGAGAAACAATATGTATATAATAACATAAACAAAACTTGAATCAAAGATCCCGAGTTCTGATATCATGTTAAATTATTAATTATTTCAAAAGTTTAAACTATTAGAAAGCAAAACTTTTTATTTCTCACCATGATCTCTAGTCATGGCATTCATAAGAGTTTTCACCTACAACCACCCTAAAGGTCCTACTAAGCTTCCAGTTTCCATTAAAGACCCCGACAGGCCGCAATTTAGAGTTGCTATAAATTGTTATTGTACCCCTAGGATTGTAACCCATCGGAGGTAGGTGATGTTGACCTACAATAATGTCACTCTCTCAAAAATTACTATGAAAATTTATTCATACACGACAATTGATGATATGGCCTTGGCAAAGCTTGTGCAAGAAAAAAAAAAGAAAAAAAAAAAAGAAAGAAGCTTGTGAATAAAGCATGGGCTTGCTTCATAAATAATTCACTTTTTTTTTTTTAGTTTTTTGTTTTTATTTATAAATTTTGTATACAATAATGCTATGGACAGAGAATAGTGCCCAGA